TCACAATGCTGTGAAAAATTCACAATGCTGTGAATTTTTCACAACATTGTGAAAACTTAACCTCAGCCTCCCTGAGATGAAAGTTCTTTTTAAAAACTTTGAGTACTTTCATTCATGTATACTTCTAGAGCAAAGCATGGGAGGTAACATTGGTTGTGCAAAGGTTACATTGTTGTGAAAATTTCACAAAATGTATGATCTTGCGGAAATCTCACAAAATTTGTAATATTGTGGAACATTCACAGGATATGTCATTTTGTGAAAATTTCACAAGATGATAAAGTTTGTGAATTTTTCACCAAATACATCATCTTGTGAACAATTCACACAACTCATCATCTTGTAAGATGATCCAAGCTACATGGTCTTATAACATTATATGGCACCAAGATGATGTTGTGATTTGTTACACCACTTTGAGACTCACAAAAAAGTCCGTCATTACATAGTGCCTTCACTAGAAAAGCAAAAAACCTTTGCAAGTGTAGTGCATGTATACATTTTGTAAAACTTCTTGTGAATTTTTCACAGGATATCTCACCTTGTGAACATTTCACCAAATATATCATTCACACTCACTCAAATTTCATATCTATACTGTACGTCTGAGGAATTCACAAAAACATGCTTCTCACAATTTGATGTGTCCACATGGAGACAACTGCAAAGACATGTGATTTCACAAGCACTCTTTTGGGCCTACCATTCAATCACCCTCAGGATCTTTTATTTCACACCATTTTTTATTTGTTTAATCTATGTACATGTCAAATGAGCCCCTGGTACATTAAACACTCTTCACAAGTTCACAACATGAGCACACTATACGATGAAACTATGAAAAATCAGGATCAGAACTGCTAGAGCTACTAGAGCTACTTGATCTACTTGAGCTACTAGGACTTGGACTGGTGAGTGGACTGGATATGTCAATTGTCACACACTGAGATGGCCCATCAGTTTCATCCCGGCGCTTGTTACGTTCTGTCCTGATCTCCTTAGCAATATTCTTGAATACCAAAAAGTTTTCTTCATACATTCCGGTCCATGTATCGGCGGCGTTGTCGTGCAATTGGGACCATTCGGAGCATAGGTTGGGTATTGGAAGATCATCGCTAAAATTCAGTTCTAGGGACACATAGTGATCATTGAAGACAAAAGCGATGATAATTGGGTTGATTTCAGGTGGAGGAGCCGTGAAAAAAGGGTATGTGGTGCATGCCAATGCTTCCGCAGGGGTGTAATACATAACCGGCTGGTGAAATGTGTTAGCTATGAGGGCGGAACCGCCGGGCATTGGATACCAGTTTTGTCGTGTGGCAGTGGCCAGTGGGTTTTGAAGGATTTCCATGAACTTGTCAAAATTGTAACCAGGACACAGTTCGGGAAGGTGTTCAAAATACCAGTCGTATCTTGATACCAGCTCCACTGCCATCTCCCGACGTATTCTTGTTGCATCGTCTGTCGTTCCACCAAGAGATACTGCGATTGCAGCAAAGGAGCATAAACCGTTCCCAGGGACATCTGTTACCGACAAAAGAAATGGATGAATGTAGGAGGGTACCTCACTTGCTAGAGGGATCCTCTGGTATTCAGACAGAAAGGGATCACATGAATCAGCGCTTTCAAAATCCAGGTATTGATTTACATACAAAACGACCTACCTCCAGCAACGAGTCTTCTTCAGGTGTGCTTTCTTTGACATTTTGTGCCTCATCAGCATCAGTGGGTTCCTGAATCAAATCAAGCATTTATATTCAGTAAGTGATTAATTAGAATCAAACATACACATAGGGATTAATCACTTACAGGTTCATGAGGGTTGGAAGGAAGAGACTTTTTTGAGGTACCTTGAACGACTTTTTTTCCGGCACCTCGAACGACTTTCTTTGAGGCACCTTGAACAACTTTCTTTGAAGTACCTTGAACAGCTTCCTTTGAAGTACCTTGAACAATTTTCCGTACTGGTTTGACTACAACAGGTTCTTCATGAACAGGTGACTGGTGGCGGTTAATTCGAGTTGACTTTCGGGTGGGAGGCACCGGAGTGTTCTTGTTCCGCCCCTTTGGTTTTGCGCGATTTTGATTGGTGAGTGGTGGTTTCATTTTGTCTTGCTCTTGTTCATGGGCTACTTGTTGATTGTTTGTGTTTAGCGTTGAAATAGGCGGTCGCGGATTCTGGGTTGCATTAATTTAAGATGTAGTCAGTGTCGACAACCTAGCTGAAGAAAAGCATAACTGACCTTGGAGGATGAGACAAGGCCCGAAAGCGATGTGGGTGGTAAAGGGCTTGAAATGCTGGCATGTTCTTGTTTGATTATAGTGGTAACAGGCTGTGGAAGTTGTTCAGAGAAAGCACTGGTCAGTTTCCAGGATAGATGTTTCTAAGCAGATACAGACTTACCTTGATAGACGAAACATCAAGCTCAGGAATTGAAGGAGTTGGAAACGGGCTTGAAAGGTTTGAAGATGAGCGGTCGGACCCAGTACTGGTGACCAGTTGTGTGTTAGCATGATTGTCAATAGGTCCCGTAATCACGTTGTCTGCAGGTTGTTCGTTAGGAATCACATTCTCGAATTCAATTTCTTTGGTCGGTTGATTCACGTGCTCCTTTGTTGTATTGATTGCAGAGTGGTGTTGTTCGATTTGAGCTTTGGCGGGCTTGATGGAAAGTTCGGGATCAATTGAAAGGGTTCCAGAGTCGCTAGCTTTACAAAGACGTTTGCGCGGTGGCGTGGGCTCCTCGTCCTCTTCAAGCTTCAGTTTTTGACTTCCTTTGCTCGATTTTGAATGAGGCGTAAGTTGCATTTGAATTTCATAATCGTCTTCTTCTTCTAAGTCGGTTTTAGGAGATGAATTAACTGATGAATGCTGTGCGTCATTGATTGCTTTTTGAAAGGTTTGAATAAGACTAGTTTGTGTGGAAGAATCAAGTTTCTTCAGGCTGTTCACTAAATCTTTATATTGTTGAGCAAATGAAGTTTTTTTTTTTTTTTTTTCTTGTTGATTTTTCTCTTGATTTGTTTGATTCGGTTTTGAGCTTGATATTGAGAGCCAAAAGCCTTGTGATTATGGTGAGGTTCGTGGGTTATGAGTGACCAAGGTTCGTGGGGGAATTCTCGAGTCGCTTGAGCATAAAACGGACAGGTTCCCTGAGAGTTGGCATGTCGAGTAGCTCCTTTAGAGCACTTGAAATCAACGAACGTAGGGCAAGAATCGAGACATGAGATCTTATAGCCATGCAAGAGAGCATGCTCGTGAACGTGGTCATCGAGTTCATCGCGTGTCTTGAAAACTCCAGGTGGAGGTGGTGGTAACTCGGTATTCCATGATGGATCAACATCACGGTTTGATCCATCGCCGTTGTTGGAAGTTGGAGTAGGTGGCTTAGGTGAGTCCATGATCGATTTCAGTTAAAGAATCGAGGTTGTTTGGTGTCTTGTTTGTGAGCTGGTGATTTTGTGCGTTGTGAGATTGACACAACTAGATTTGAAGTTGAATCAAACTCGTTGGGGTAATTTTGAACATTTCACATCATTTTGTGAAATGTTCGCGTGAAATGTTTGTGTATTTGTGAACTTTGTGAATTTGTGAAATTCTCAAGTTCACAAAGTTCACAAATTCACAAGTTTGTGATTTTGTGAACTTGTCAAGTTCACAAAATCACAAACTTCACAAAGTTCACAAGTTGTTTGACTGATCAACTTGTATGTTGTGAAATGTAGAAGTGTGAATTTTCGACAACAAGTTACACAGTCACAGTGCTGTATAGCTACCTGTATATCATTTGACATATGTACATAAGTTGTATCCGATCAATTTGCAAATCGGAAACAAATTGATATACATCACCTTTTTGCTACACTTCAACGCACCTTTCAACATTGTCTCTCAGTGACAATCATCTTCAATTTTTACCGTCTTCATACCCAATAGCCGCCATGCCTCCTCGAACTCGTCGAAACCGCCAAGGCTCAGCTTTGCCCCATCCCAGCCCCAGTACAGAACAAGCCAATTCAGCTCCCGCCGCTTCACCTACCGATACTAGAGGTAACTTGTCCAAGAGACCTCCTGCGCGCAAGCCTCCAGCCAAACGAAGTCGTAACAACCAAGAAAATGATACAACCGAAGAAACAAACCCTGATGACACTCCCACACTCGAAAATTATAAAAGCTTGATGCCATTGTGGCCTCCAGGCCGTATTCGAAAACATCTCAAAGAACATAAGTCTTCAACTCACAACCGCCCATCATCAGAAATTCAAACTCGTGTCAAGTTGGTCTTCAAACTTTTCAAGCAAGAGCTCCTCATGCTTGCTATGATTGGTGAAGTTAGCGAGAGCACTATCAAGTCCTACATGTAAGTGAACTTCGAGCTACATCAATTTTAAACTATATCAAATTTAAATGCCTCTGTTATACTCTATATTTTATATCTTTCACTCACGAAATGCACTTTGTAGACCTGAAGTCGCTGCGAAAAGAGCGGCAAGTGCTTACACAATATTCCTCAAGTATTCTTTGGATTGTCTATCAGAGCCCAGTAAGTGGACCATATTACAATAGAAAATGTGTGATTACGAAACTGACCTATTTCATTTAGTGCCTTTGAAAGGACAAGATGAACAAGATGACGGTGGTAGCATGCTTGGTAATCGCAACCGCAAGAATGGTGATTGATGGGATAAG